CTTGGAATTAAAAGACTCTCCACTTGGAATCGGGCTTTACTTGCAAAACATGTGTGGGATATTGCTAGGCGACGGGATTCTATGTGGGTTCGTTGGATTTATAGTAATAATCTCCGCTCTTCGAATTTTTGGATGGTTCGTAAGAATTCTAATTGGTCTTGGGTTTTTCGTAAACTACTGGACTTGCGGAGTCATTTGCGTCGGTTTCTTTTCTCTCAAATTGGTGATGGTCGGAACACGAACGCTTGGGAGGATGCTTGGTTATCTTGTGGTCCTCTATCCGCATTTATCTCTTACCGGTTTGTCCATTCTTGTGGGTTCTCTACCTTAAGGACGGTTCGTGATCTTATTATAAGCTGGAATGGTAATTGGCCTGATGATTGGTGTCAACGGTTTGATATGCTTCGAAATTCTCCGCTTCCTTTATTGACCTCTGATTGTGATAGAGTTCTTTGGGGAGATGCTTATAATTTGTGTTCGGATTTTACAGTAGGTAAGGCCTAGGCTTCCTTAGAGGGTAATCATCCTGTGATCCCTTGGTCTAAATTGGTTTGGTTCTCGGGTCATATTCTGAAGCATGCTTTCTGTTTTTGGTTGGCTTGTCAGAGAAGGCTTCCGACTCAAGACCGCTTACACTGGAAGGATGAGCCCCCAGATATGGAGTGTTCACTTTGTGGTCAATGTTTGGATAGTCATGATCATTTATTCTTTCAATGTTCGTATGCTGGAGCTGTATGGACTAGTGTTTTACTTATGGTGGATATGACGGGTATGCCTTCAAGGTGGGAACAAATTGTTCAAGTTATTTCGGATCCTAATACTCGTCCGAATCTGTTAAAGCAGAAACTTGCTATGGCGGCTACTGTTTACTATATTTGGCAAGAACGTAATAGAAGAATTTTTTCTGCGACTAAGCGTACGGCTCAAGATCTTACTGCTGTTATTAGGGAATCTATCTCCATTCGAGCAGATTGGTTGGCGTGTCGTCCTGTGGTTACTTATGGTTGACTTGAAGGCTTGTTTTTGGTTCTGGGAGGHGATGGTTTGGGTTACGCTTCTCTTTTTTATCTTCTTTGGTTGTTTGTTTGWGTCTTATGGGCTTTGTTTATTTTGGCTTGTTGTTGCTCGGTTGGGGTGTTTCCTTTGGCCTTGGGACTTTTTTTGTAGGTTGCGGTCTTTCTGTTTGGTTGCTTTGTAGAACTTTTTAATTGCGTTTTATAAATTTGCCGAAGTTTTCCTTCAAAAAAAAAAAAAAAGATATCTTCGCTTTTTGACGAGCCATTTCCACTTGATCATTTCTAGCTTTTTGATATGCTAGCAAGAAGTAAGCAATGTCCTCCTTCAGCAAGTCATTAAACGGGTCTAGATCACAAGCCAATTGAGCAACATCAAGTTCCGTCTTTAATTGAACTACCCTTTTATCCAAACAACCATACGAATTTCTGAGACGCCGACAAACCACCTTCAGATCTTGCAATTTCCAAAGCACCCTCTTCATATAAGATCCGCTCTGAGGTTTCGTCCATACCTCCTCCACAGAAGCAAGGAAATCCGTATGAGAAGTCACAAAATTGTCAAACTTAAAGCCACGCTGTCGAAGACGTCTACCAACTTTAAAAGAAAGAATATCCGGAGAGTGATCAGAAATCCCCCTCGGTTCAAAGAAGACCGAAGCATCCCCAAATCTAGAGATAAAAGCAGAATTTCCCAGAATATGATCCAGTTTGCGCATAACACCATCTCCCCCCGAAGGTTTCTGTATCCAAGTAAACTGGCATCCTTGGTACGAAATGTCAAACAATTCGGCCTCTTCCAAGCAGAGATGAAACTCCTCCATGTCAGAATTTCTCCTAGAGGAACCTCCCAACCCATCATGAGGGAAAAGCATTGAATTAAAGTCCCCCATCGCAATCCATGCTTTCCTTTGATTAAACATATGAAATTCACCAAACGCCCGCCAAAGCTCACGCCTTTCCGTACCCGTATTACACCCATAAACAAAAGTAATAAAAATAGGATYCAGTTGGCCAAAAATCCRAATTTCACAGTGGATATATTGTTGGTGCTGCTCAATGAGAAGAACAGAAAGCACTGACGGGTCCCATGCAATAATTAGGCGAGTGCCTTGATCACAAATAGATCCATTTGTAATCCAACTCCAATTAMCAAATACACTACTACACACATCCCCCAAGTGATTATAAGCAACTTTTGATTCAATAATGCAACATAGAGAAAGATGCTTGAGATTAATTAAATCACGTACCTCCTTCCGTTTGATAGGGGCATTTAAACCCCTAATATTCCAAGCGGTGTGAGACGAAGAAAGTGTAACATCCTCTCCTCGTTTTGCCATACTGTGCCCCTCTGGATCAATGATCTCCATATCGTCATCCTCATCACTAGAATCGTCAGAAGATAAAGAAGAAAACCGATTACTAGATTGCAAATCATGAAATTCGCCTCTCCTTGGTTTAAATGCTTTCACCACCTTTTGAATTAACTTCGGATCCCCTTTTGATAAAGTTTTGATGTTAGAAATATCTTCTCTACCCCTTGGTGTTCGTCTCGCATCCACCATACAGAACTGACCGTCCACCTTCCCAACATCCTTTTCTACCAACTTTGATGATTCCCCAGAACATGGAATGTTTTTGTCATTTATATCATCTCCCGTGTGATTCGACACCTCCTGAACCCGTTTTAAAATGCCAACTCCAGTTAGAGAATCATGCTTACCTGAGGCCGCACCCGAAGAAGTTGCCTGGAATCCTGATTTATCCTTCTGCCTCCACTGTTTACGTCTGAAATCTTTAAACCCCCACTTTTTGTGAGGAAGTATCATAAACCTTTTGCTTAGCATTATTCTCTTGCATACATGACCCAGTATGATGACCAAAATCTTTGCAATGCGAACACTGGGAGGGAATCCAATCATATTCAAGAACAACATTAATGACATCCTCTCCTGTACCCGATAGTCTTGGAATAACCACTTCAATATTCCTTTGTATTTCTCCCACGGCCCAAACATCCACCAGCACTTTAGCAAAATTAGTTCGACCCCATGCTTTATCACATGTGCTTGCAGTGCAAGCATCCAAACGCAATGGAACGCCTATAGCACTAGCAATACGACTAATACCCTCTCTATTGAACGCAACAAGAGGAATATTAAAAAACTTAACCCACAACGGGCAAGAGTTGTGCTCAGGCTTCTGAAGACCCTTGGAAGGATCCTAGAGAGAGACAAACAGCGGCCTTCCTCTAATCATGAGGGGAGAAGTCTCAATAACTTGGTTGCACCCACCATCATCATTAAAACGAAAAAAGAAATAACCCAAGTCATTAACCATAGCATCGAGAAGACCAAATCTTCCCCAAGCATTCTGAACCGCACGTAAAACAATTGGGAAAGGAAGGCGAGGTCCAAGAAAATAACCATAGAGAACTGATTGAAACGATTTGGCCATACCTTTTGTAACATCCAAGGGAAAGCTGATCCGCGGTTTCACACTCTTCTCAACCGGAAAATAAGTAAGTTCTGTCGAGGTAGTACCACCCACAATCTCAGCGATGGACTTTTTAGGCATCACACAATGACCACCCCTAATAGCTGGAGAAAGACGTTCCCATACCGACACCTCGGATTAGATCCAGGATTTACTCCCGCCTTTTTCTGAATATCCTCATGCAAAGAAGGACCTTTCACCATGCTAGGATCCGACTCATCCAAAATGACATCAGCAAAATCTTGAGAAGGATCATCTCTCAAGATAACATCCGCAAAGTCAGACATCCTTACCAAAAGCAAGAATACCTAGGCTACTATAACCCTAATCAAGAAGCTGTGGCGCTGAATCCCTAGTCAAGCAGTCTCAATAAAGTAGACGAAGACCTTAGAAATGGTGCTGAATACTCTATCAATAAACTTAACAAAGGAGACGAAGACCACAGAAACACTTGACGCAGGAAATAGAAAACTAGATAATGACACACACCCAACCCGCAACCTAGGATGCATTAAGACATTTGTGCACAGACACACATATATTAACAGATATCAAATCAGCACAAATAACACAGACGTAGACGTTGGGATTCGTTACTGTTTTATGTCATATTGTTGATGTTCATTAGGTTCACAAATCCAAACTTGTATGTATTTGTGAAGTGTTGCGTGTGTCTGATGTTCATAAGGTTCACACATCCAAACTTGTATGCATTTCGCCAAAATCATCCATCATTTTGATGAATATTATGAACCAGATTTTTCGCTTATGATATACACTATTGATCGTATAGATTGGCAGTTTCGTAGTTGATTGGAGGTTACAAAATCGTCTGAATAATATAAATTTATAATGTGATGCGATTTTTTTACAAAATTACCCTTTGAACAGTTGTTCATAGACATCTCATTTAATACATTAATTAAATGATTATTTTTGTAGTCTCATTTAATAAGGACTGTTTGATGAGAAAATGAACGATCAAGATCGGTTAGCATAGTTTGCACAATAGTTTGGGTTAGTATTTACATATGAACACAATATGAACACTTGTGAACAATTCTTTAACAATTACATATGAATTCGAATTCCGATTGTAGTCGTAGACGATTTCTTTTTTTTCTCAATTCACGCATTCCGTAAAATAGTTGACGGCTTCATGCATATTACTCGATTTATTAACATAACAGTTTGAAATAACTTCTACTTACAAAAAAAGATTTCTTTAAAAATAGGAATCCTTTATGATAGAAAATAGATATATTACCACTTGGTTTTTTTTAAACGGAGCCTGGATACTTC